GATATAAATACTCGTTCCCCAGTTTATCTTCATGCCCGGCATCCTCTCTACACAGCCGCTTCCTGCCAACTTCCAGTTACAAATACTGCTGATTCAGAATACAGCCATGCAAGATAAAGTGATATTCGGACATGAAAGCACATAACAGTTTACTGTCTGCTTTGACACATGACACCTTTCACTGCAGTTAGACCTGATAACCACTTTTTAAGTATTATCTCTAATTATGGATAAGAATAGAATGACTTTTATCACAAAAAAAATGCAATTAAAGTGTTATTTCAATACATGTCAACTTCCAAATACTCCAAATAAGTGCCTTACCTTTCTTCCATATCTCTGGTTTAAGAAGGACGGCAGTTTCAGTAAACAGAAGGTGAAAGCGGATGGTGTCTAGATATGACAGGACTCATCATGTGCTGCATCTTTGCATGCCATCGTCTAATTTTCTTACCTAACCAAAGAAACATGAAGGCTGAGACTGGATTATCCCCACCCCCTGTCATGCTCCAGTGACCAAATCATGTGGGTGTTTGTGTGAGGCTATAAGAAGAGTCAGACACGCATGACAAATTTACACATCTGTGTTAATACTTCAGTTGGAGAAAATTGTTTTTGTTTTATTTATTTGGTCGGAATAGAAATGTCATCACAGATTTTTGATATTTTAAAGAGGTTCAAATTAACATTTTTAATACGTATTCCTTAAACTACAAGAAAACATTGCCAGTGTCAGCACTGAACACTGGACTGTTGTGTAGGTCTCTCACATTTTCAGTTCCTCTTATAAATCATGACTTTACAGCAGTTTATCATAGTGTAATCTTTAGGGAGGTGTTTTCCTGTGCAGCTGCACATTCACAATAATTGGGATTTATATCACCTGTTGATAAATATCTCTTTTGTTTTCTGTTAAGAATTAATTGTTGAAAGCGAGATTTAGTTTGGGGGAAAAAATCAAGTCGATTTTATTTTAAAAAGATGACACCGGAATTGGGTAACTAACGCTATTTACTTATAGGAAAATGACTCTGTGCCTTCAAAATATTAGCACAAAACTGCTAAGTGGTGGACAGATATAAAAGTAACTTTCGAAATAAGTAGATATATGATTATTTTGTCTTGTATTTATTTCTATGTTGGTTTACATTACGAATAAACGCGGGCCTTTTGGAGCGTTCACAAGTGTTGATTTTATTTTGAAAGACAAACCAGAAGTCGCACTCTTTCGTCGCTAGCTTGACACTAGTTGTGATGTTAGCTTGTTTTCTTGGACGCTCCTAGCTCTGATCTCACCGCCCTGCTAATTGCCTCACGCCCCCCTCAGGAAACCATGGCCTCGGAGGCCTCGGGATCCCCTCAGTCGTCCCAACATGACGGTAAATTTCTTGTGTCTTTGGCGGTTTGTGGTGGGTGTGTTGAGGGGCTGGGAGCAGCGAAGCCAGCGACGGCCTCTGCATCACTGGCAACATTAGCTAGTTAGCATCCTCAATGCGACGTGTCACTGCCTCATGCTGGGCATTTAACATTGCGCAGTGGTTCACAAATTTGTGGAAACTTACTGAAGCTCTGTATAGCTGAACATGAGGAGCATGTGTGACATATCCAAGCTAACGTGGTTGTCGCTTTAGTAATGTTACACCTAGCTGGTTAGCTCCTAGCTCTGGCTAGTCTGACTAATTTGATCTAAAGGTCGGCTCTGGCCTCTGGCAGTCCGGCCCTGCACTGACAGGGTCAGTCATATGGGTCGCATCGGTGGCCGTGCTCTGTGGTGTCTACGGGATACTGATAAATCCTGCAGGAGACTTTCCCTTTGGTTATCAACCCGAGGTCCAGGGACCCAGAGGCGGCATTGAGAGCATCTGGAGCTTCAGGAGCTGAACGTGGGGCTCCCACTTTATACAAACTGTGTGAACAATTCCAGTCCAGGTTTATGTTAAACAAAACAGACTGCGACAACGCTAATACATGCAAAACAATCTAAGCTTTATGCGTCCTCGGAGGTAATATTACAAACACTCTGTAGCTTCAGAGTCTGTCACAAATCCACACACACATTAGAGAGGGATGGGGGCATCTCCTAGTGGTTACCTTTGTTTTTATGCCGTATAAACCTGTACATAATGTTTTAAGATGGCACTTGGTGAGGTGTGTGGTAGGAGTGACAGATGGGTTCAAGGTGGGATTACATCAGGGATATGCTCTGAGCTGCTTCTGATGATGGACAGGCTGACAGATGAGGTCAGGCAGGATTTTCAATGGACTGTGATGTTTGCCACAGATCAACATAGTGATCTGTAAGGAGAATAGGGTGCAGCCTGGAGAGGTGGAGGTATGCTCTGGAGAGAAAGGAATAGAAATTGTATGTGAATGAGAGGGAGACAGGTGTAACAATGAAAATGCAAAAAGTAGAAATAGTGACGGTCGAGGAGTTTACCTGGAATCAACAATCCAAAACAATGAGTACACAAGAGAGATGAAGATGAGAGTGCAAGGGGAAGATTTACAAGATGACAATGCTGACTGACAAAATGGGCTATGGTCACCTGCTCACCCACTGAGCTGCAGATACCTGTAGATCTTTGGAGAGCCAGGTGTTAGTAATGGTGCTGCTTTGAACTGAGCAGTCATACACATGTCATTACTTCTTGACAATGGCACCTGTTGAGCAAAAGTTGCTGTGGGAGTGGGTTACAAAGGGTGGTGGTAAAATACACTGAAAGAAACTGCTTCGTGGCGGTTTGATTTTTATCTTAATATATATTAAAAGCAGCCAGAGAAAAGACGGTGTCTGTTCAAAGTGCAAAGCGCTGCCTGCAGTGAGTAAAAGGAGGATTTGAATATTTGAAACAGTAATTAGTAACAGGCCTACCTTCATTCAGTCGTGAGGTTTGAGGGAATTACTTACTTCTGAAAATGCAGGGCCTGTTTAACTTGAAACTGGTATAAAATAGCTTTGACCGCCAATGTGGGTGCCTGGGGTGACTTTAACTGGTTTACTAGTGTGGGTAAGATAATAGAAAGTTTTGTGGAAGTGCATCAGGGTTCAATATAATGGCTTAGTGGAATGGGAACAGTAAAAATGTACATTTGGCAAGTTGACTGACCAATGACAGTGTTTCTACTGATCAGTTCACCTGTGAAGCAGACTGACTCACTAATGATTAGTTTTTTTCCCCACCAGACAATATTTTCACATGAAATTAACATTTAAACAGTCTCGATAGTTAAAATATGAAGGGAAGCCCTGTTTTCTAACTATGCAAGGGGAGAGTCAAGGACAGATAGCATTTACTCAGTTTTGTTTTAAAGGTTTAGCAACTATTTTTTTATTCTGATTTAAGTTCTAGAATTGTTTAAATATAATCATGTAACATCAAATCATGTTTATTTGAAGGAAACAGCATAAATGCAGAAGCAGTGTGTGAAAAACTGAGTACTGATTCAGTAGCTTGCAGAACAACCTTTAGCAGCATTAACGTGAAGTAATTGTTTTTGGTATGACTGTATCAGTCTCTGACTGTGGTGTGGAGGATTTTTGGTCCACTCTCCTTTTCAATGTTGCATCAGTCCATTGAGGTTGGAATTGAGGTGGCTGGAATTAATTCAATGCATTTCATTGTGAGGTCTGGACCGTTACAGCACCTTGATTATTTTCTTTTTCAGCCATTCTCTTATAGACTTGCTGCTTTTTTGGGATCATTTTCCTGTTGCAGGAAAGTTAAGTCAAGTTTCAACTTTCAGCTAGATGCCATCACATCTGACTCTAGAATACAGAGAAGACTGGATTATCATGGTGGATTGCAAGCCCAAATCATCACCCCCCCATCACCGTAATGTGGCGTGATGTGGCGCTGTTCATTGTGGTCACCTCCACATTGATTTCGTATGTCCAAAGGACATTGTTCTTGCAGCTTTGCAAACCTAAGAAGAGACTTTCTCCTGGCAACCCTTCTAAACAAGCCATACCTCTTCAGTCTTTTTCTAATTGTAGTGTTATGAATTAACATTTAACATGCTAACTGTAGCCCTGTAGTCTGAGATGTATTTCTTGGGTGTTTTTGCAGTTTCTATGAGAAATGCACCACCATTTGACGTTTGGTGAATTTGCTGGGACGTCCACTCCTTGGATTGTCATGGCATTAACACACACCTGAACACCACAGACCAGCAAACAGCCAAGTCTTTTATAGAAGTTGTCACACATGCTGCTGATCAATTAAACAACTGCATTTGATTAGCGGTACTTGGCTACTACTTACCCTGTTAAACTTGTGGAGCAGTAAGGACAAACTTAGGTTTTCACAGAACTGCTTAGAGTACTGTGAAAACTTAAGTTGTATGTCAGCAGGAACTAGGATTATAGCCTTATGTGTGTTTATATTTTGGATTACTCAGCACAGGTTAGGAAGTTACCACCCTGTTTACCTGTGCTTATTTAGGAGGATGCAGGTGAGGCTGGAGCAGGGGTGGGCAATTCCAGGCTCCGAGGGCCGGTGTCCTGCAGGTTTTAGATCTCACCTTGGGTCAACACACCTGAATCACATGATTAGTTTGTTACCAGGCCTCTGGAGAACTGCAGGAGCTAATTTAAGCATTTAAATCAGCTGTGTTGGTTCAAGGACACATCTAAAACCTTCAGGGACACCGGCCCTCGAGGCCTGGAGTTGCCCACCCCTGGGCTGGAGAGACATACGAAATAGATGAAGTGGTGGATTGCTGCAAGGCTGTCTTTTGTCTTTATTTCAGCTTCCTGTAATGTGTTATTACATTTTTTGTTATTAAATGTCACTTTTTTCCAATACCCCTGCATCAAGACTTGCTTCTTAAACACTCCTTCCTTTGCGGTGTCACATGATATCAACCACCTTCTGTGTGGGATCTGGTTATGAAGCCTTGCCTTTGCTTTCTTGGCATTTTGAACATGGATGTGATAAAGCAAGGTGTAGACCTGACTGTGAAACTGTTGAAAATGAAGCCAGACATGTCCACTTTAGTCCTATTAGCCTTGGACAGATTTCCAGAAGTCTTGTCGTTTGGTCAGATACAACTTTGCCGTTCTGCCATGTTTTTTTTTTTCTTGGTGAGAAGACACTTTCTACTGGCAGCCCTTTCAATTAAGCCATATTTGGCCCGTTTTTTTTCTAATTATGTTGTTATGAACTTTAACATTTAAGGTGCTAACTGAGGCCTGCTTCTGCATTTTTGGCTTACTTTTAAACAAATAGATAGAGAAACGGTGTGATATGTCACATGCTGTTGTTAATCTCTTAGAATTTAAAGTGGGTGTGCTTCCTTTTTACAATAGTAATCTGTTGCCGGGCGTCGGTTTAACTCACCTTGTTCGGCAGATGATCTTATGCCGCTAGGCTGTTTGAGTCCAACCCAGGGCCCTCTGCTGTGTGCCTTCCCTCACTCTGTCCCCACTTTTCTGTCTCAAACTGTCACTGTTTTATCAAACAAAGGCAGAAACGCTGCTGTGAGGTTGAGCCTCTGTTATATTTGCATCATCATGAACTGGCGTTGCTGTTAAATTGGTTAATTACTGACTTTCTTTATGCGCTCTATCATGTGATCTTTGTGGCTTCCTGACGTGATCGGTTACACACCAGAGCAGTCGGCTTTTATTTTAATACCAAGAAGGAAAAGATGCAGAGCTTTTGAGCTGAGGTAAGTGTGAGAAAAGGAGCTTGATATACGCTGTGCTTAAATACAACACAAACTTATGAATACGTGGCGATGGAGTTAGTGTTTCCTTTTGTTTGGCTGTCACATGATCATGGTGGAATTGAGCTGAACCGTCCGGCTGCTCGTAAATGTTTCCGTTTGGCTGTCTGGCTTTAAGGATTTTATCTGTATCGCTGCGGTTTTAAATAAGAGATGAAGAAGTAGGAAAATGTAGGACCGTAGGAAAACCAGTGACTGGTTGTGTTTGCTGGCGGGAGGTTTTTATACTTCATTTTATGTGTCGCCTGACTGATATATTGGTGGGCACAATTTATCAGCTGATATTAGTATTGACCTATTTATAATAGATGGCTAAACAAACAGAAAGGCCCTTTAACTAGGTTCTGCATCTCAATGTTGGATAGTTTCCCCACAAGACTGCACTTTGCAACTTTACTGATGGCAGCATGTGTTTGTAAGGCTTCAATATCCAGCTCATCCGAGTTAAGCAGAGCAAGATTTTTAACAAATATCGATTATGGTTTACCATACCATAGAGCGGGTTACAGCTCATTGAGGTCACGTCTACTTAGATTTTTCTGGGAGTTATCCATGTTTGTTTTTTACCTTTTAAGATTCAGATAAATCTACATTTCAAATGTAGCCAAGCCATAACAGACTTGGTAAATTCAAAAAGGCTGCAAGTAAGTATTGATTTGTGACAGCTTTTTATGCTATTTTGTGTTTTCCCAACAAATATTGCCTTTATTTTGTTGATGTTTTTATGTGGATAAATCCTTGAGGGCCAAACATATAAACTGAATAACAGTTAAAAATTTGAAATAAGGGATGTCAATCATGAAAATCGTCCCAGCAGTTCAGTGGATGGCTAAAATATCTTGCACTGCACGTACCAGTGCTCGGTGAGGTGATGCCAACAATAAAAAAGCATTTGAAGATCTTGTCAAGTTTGAGTTAAAGTTTGATAATGGAGTGAAATATGGTATTAATTTTGTGCTTTAGTAGATCCACTGTGCATTGTAGCACACATGTAACAAGTTGTGCTGTTTTTAATTTAAATGTGGGTGTTCGTCAAGATGGTTCATTAAATGCAAGTGTGTAAGTAATAAAGGTGAGTCTGTTTTTACATGTTTATCTAAAATAATCTTTAAGGGGAGTACTTATCGGTTTTATTATACCAGATATATTAAATGATAAAATGATGTGAAGATGTTTTTCATAGTTAATAAGAACCAGATTTATCTGAAAAACAGGGATGACACCACTCATTATTATTATTAGAAAGAACCAAGTTTTTGTTAACATTACATTCAAAATTTTCTAAATATTTTCTACATATAGATTTTTTTAAATACTTATTTGTCCACAGTTTAGGGGCAGGGATAGCTCAGTAGGTAGAGTGGTGGCCCCATGATCGGAAGGTCGGGGGTTCGACTCCACTGAACGGCTACCCTGAGGAAGGTACCGTCCCTACACACTGCTCCCCGGCCGCTGCATTGGTGGCTGCCCACTGCTTCACTGGGTGAATGGGTTAAATGCAGAGGAGCAATTTCCCTATGGGGACTAACACATACACATTATTATATTATACACAGTATCGTGATAGTCCATATTCATAAAGCTATAGTTTTAGATCCTTACCCTCCAAAATAGTAAGTAGCTTTCTCCATATTGAAAATTTTAAAACGTTACTACAAAACTTGTGACAGTAATGACCTGAAATATTTCATTATTTCATTTAAGAACTGTATCTTTCCCCTGGATTTTTTTTCAGTCAAATTGGTGATGGTCACGTGGAAAGTTTAAAAGGTTAAAACCAATCAGTAAATGTGATTGTTTATGAAATGTTTCTAAACGACTAATGCAACATACATCATATTTATTTTCCCTCACACTTCTCTTATGAGCTTCTACATATGATATCTCTAGAAGTTATTTAAAATTATCTAAGAAAAAGTTTCCATTTAGCTGACTGTTAACAGCCTTGTAAAAGAGGCCACTGGTGGACTTTACTCTGTTTTTAAAGGTGTCACGAGCTGAAACTTGCTGGTATAATAAAAGTTAAGTAACTGACCACATGAAACCACGTGAGGTCTGTTATATTAATAAATGACTCTGCAAAAATCACTATTTAGAACTTTTGTTTAAAGTAAAAAGTAGTCTCCAGTTCAAGTTCCCAAATTTTGCAGATTTGCTACTTCATAATAATAAATTATTTGTTAATGTTTTCATTTCTGTATCGCTATCCAGAGACATTTAGTCTGTAATTTGTGAGTTCTGTACTGTTTTGTCACATTATTACATTAATGATCAGTAGATTAGATAGTACTGGATGTAATAACACATGTTTCAGCCTAATTACATTTAACATTTGCGTAACATTATGGCTGAACCAAACAAGGAATTCAGTGATTTAATCGTTGTACTTATTGGTTTTATTATATTAGATATATTTAATCATAAAATTGAAAGTTGTCATAATTTCTAAGAACCACATTTATCCCCAAAAGCATCAATAATAATTTGTATTCATATCATTTTAGGGCTTGATAGCTTTTATTCACCCTCTGATTTGAGTCCTTAGTAATGAGATAAACGACGTAATGAGTGCACTGATTTTTGTGGATGTTTGCCCTTTGACTTGAATGATTTCTTTTCAACTACATGTAAGCAGCAGCTAATTTTGTTTTGCTTTTTTCCTCCTTCATTATCATTCAGCGGTGCTACAGCAGCGAGTGGCATCTCTGGAGCAGGAGAGGGCCGAGTTCATCAAACTCAAGCAGCAGCTGGAGGTGGAGTTCAACCAGAAGCGGGCCAAGTTCAAAGAGCTTTACCTCACCAGGGAAGGTGTGGATGGTCATAAAACTCTACACAATGTAAAGTGTCTTGTTGGACATAGCTGTGGAGCATCTTTGGCCTTTTAAACTGTCTGTTTGAATTGAACTCATGCATGCTGAGGTGCAACACTGGTTGCCTGCTAGCTGGCACAGTGGGAGATTCTGTGAAATTCCCCACAGAGAGACTAAACAGGCCTTGTAAATGACTCCAAGGCTTGCACAGTAGAAAGAGGTTCTTCTTTTAAAATATATAAACAATTTTTTTCTGTAATAAATTGTGCTGAATAAGGAAAAAAGTCTGAAATATACAAGTGTCCCATTGTGCATTTTTCCTCTCTCCTCCCATCATTCATTTCATGTCTCACCTCTCTCCAGAGGAGCTGAAGAGGCAGACAGCTGCACTGGAGGACGCCCATTCCGAGCTGAGCTCCGTCCAGACCCAGCTCTCTCAGGCCCAGGCTGAGATAGAGACCATCAAAGCTGTGGCCACCGTGTCGGAAAACACCAAACAGGAAGCCATCGACCAGGTCCGCAGCCAATGGCAGGAGGAGGTGGCCTCCCTGCAGGCCATAATGAAAGGTAAATGGAGCCTGACGCTATGTGAGCAGTGAAAACCTCTATTCCTAATATCATTGCTCTTTTGCTTATTATTCGGGTATTTACTTAGATTGATAACACTATGAATATATATTATCTAAAAGATTGTTTACATTTAAGTGGTGTGATCAAAACATTTCTGAAGGCAGGTCCAAAAAACAAAAGCGCTACCTGATTTAAAGCTTGTTGATTTCACCTTCAAGGTCCCCTTTATGTCTGGTTGGCTTCCAGTGCAGCTTCTATTCATAGATCAATCCCTGGAAGTCCACTTGGCGCTGTGCAGCCTGGGATCAACTTATGTTTCAAAGTGACTCGGTCTCCCCCTGTGACTCTGTGATTTTCAGTCAACAAGTCCACAGTTTGCAAACTTCTTGTTCGTTCTTTAAAAA